GTAGGTATGAGTATGAGGAAGTATGTGTATGAGTTCGTATGGGTATGCGTAAGTCTGAGTATGAGTAAGTCTGTGTATGAGAAAGTTTGTGTATGAGTGACTCCTGGTATGAGTACGCCAAGGTATGAGTGAGTCCGAGTAGGAGGAGACCAGAAGAGGAGGGGACGAGAAGAGGAATGAGGAGGAGGAGTAGGAGGCGTCCAAGCAATAACCAGAACCCCATCTGAGGATAGCGAGACCGAGTATGAGTAAGTCTGAGTCTGACTTGGTCTGAGTATCAATGAATATGATCATGAGAAATTCTGAGTCTGAGTTAGCCTGAGTATGACTAGGCCTACCCCACGCCCTACCCCACGCCCTACCCGACGCCCTACCCCGCGCCCTCCCCGGCGCCCTTCCCGACACCCTTCCCGACGACGCCCTGCCCGACGCCCTACCCGACGCCCTACCCGCCGTCCTACCCCACGCCCTGCCCGACGCCCTATCCGACGCCATTCCTGACGACGCCCTTCGGCACTTCCCTCCACCAGCACGACGGCGAGCAATACGAGGGCCACCGGCGCCTACGCCGGCACCAACGCCAGGACTGTCGACAGCTTCAGCGCCAGCACCGACGCCAGCACCAAGCCGGCACCTACGCCGGCACTAACGCCAGCACCGACGCCAGCATGCGCATACGCCGGCACCACCGCCAGCGCCTACACCAGCGCCAGCTCCGACGCCGGCACTGACGTCAGCACGCACGCCGACGCACGCGTCGGCACCAACGCCCGCGCTTGCACCAGCATCGATGGCAGCACCGACGCCAGCTCCAAGGTTGGCGCCTCCAACGGCGCCGGCGCCAGCACCGACGCCAGCATCAACGTCGGCGACTACGCCGGCACCAATGCCAGCGACTACACCAGCCCCGACGCCAGCACCCGACGCCAGCACCAACGCCGGCGCCTGCGGCGGCACCAACGCCGGCGCCTACACAAGCACCGGCGCCGTGGGATATCGGATGGGCCGGCATGCCGATAGCGCAACCAATCCGCAAGTATCCACGATCCCGACCACGTGCGCGGCCCCAACTGCAAACGCAAGTACAATTGGCACCGCTGCCAAGACAAGGGTGCTTGACTGACCCCACTGCCCCTCCCCACACCCACTTCCCTCTGTCTTCCCACCCCCTCCTCCACCTACCAACCTCCAGCCGCCACCACCCCCAGCGCCTACGCCAGCTCAGACGCCGATTCTGGCCCCAGCCCGACCCCGGCACATTCGACAGCTACTACACCAGCACCCTCGCCAGCATCAGCGCTTGGAACTACGACTTCTGCACCATCGCCAGCGCCTACATCCGCGCCGACGTCATCAACGACTCCAGCACCAATGCTGGCCATTGGACGACACCGCGCCAGAGGATTCATTAATCCAGCAGGGCCGTGAGGAAAAGGTTGACCAAGACAAGCACGCACCGAATGCTGCGGCCTCGAAGCGTCCAGCCGGCCTGGATCCACATCGCGGCACCGCGATAAGGAGGATCAGCCGAACTCTGGTGCTAGGATGGGCAGGTACACCCAAAAAGAACGGATCGACAATATAAGCGGGAACTAACCTACCCATTGTGTGACAGGGAAATTCACTACACAGTTCCGTTTCCACCGATTATCTGGTGCATTCTGTCGGCACCAATCTGCCCGCAGCGGCCCGAGAAGAGGTCAACAACATGTCCCCCCCGGGCTCCTTGTTCTCCTAAGCAGTGGTGAAAATGTGCACACATATTGGTACACTGTGTGGCGGTATCCTTGTTTCTGACACACATGACGCCGACGCCGGCCCCAGCCCGACCCCGGCACACTCGCCAGCTGCTACACCAGCACCCTCGCCAGCATCAGTGCTTGGACCTACGACGCCTGCACCAACGCCAGCGCCTACATCAGCGCCGACGTCATCACAGACTCCAGCACCAACGCGGACCATCTGACGACAACGCACCAGAGGATTTATTCATCCAGCAGGGCCGCGAGGATGAGGTTGACCAAGACAAGGGCGCCCGACTGACCCCACTGCCCCTCCCTACGCCCACTTCACTCTGTCTTCCCACCCCCACCTCCACCTTCCAACCTGCAGCCGCCACCACCTCCAGCGCCTACGCCAGCGCAGACGCCGACGCCGGCCCCAGCCCGATCCCGGCACGCCCGCCAGCTGCTTCATCAGCACCTTCGCCAGCATCAGCACTTGGACCTACGGCGCTTGCACCCACGCCAGCGCCTACATCAGCGCCGACGTCACCACCGACTCCAGCACCAACGCCGACCATCTGACGGCAACGCACCAGAGGATTCCTTAATCCAGCAGGGCCGCGAGGACAAGGCTGACCAAGACAAGGGCGCCAGACGGACACCACTGCCCCTCCTTACGCCCATATCCCTCTGTCTTCCCACCCCCGCCTCCACCTACCAACCTCCAGCCGCCACCACCTCCAGCGCCTACGCCAGCGCAGACGCCGACGCTGGCCCCAGCCCGATCCCCGCACACTCGTCAGCTCCTACACCAGCACCCTCGCCAGCATCAGCGCTTGGATTTATGCCGCTTGCACCAACGCCAGCGCCTGCAGCAGCGCCGACGTCATCTCCGGAATCCAGCACCAAAGCCGACCATCTGACGACAACGTACCAGAGGACTCACTAATCCAGCAGAGCCGCGAACTCCCAAACAGAACGGATTGGCAATATGAGCGGGAGCTAACCTACGTACTCATTGTGCGACAGGGAAATTCACTACACAGTTTCGACTCCATCGATTGCCTGGTGCATTCTGTCGGCACCAATCTGCCCGCAGCGGCCCGAGAAGAGGTCAACAACATGTCCCCCCCCGGGCTCCTTGTTCTCCTAAACAGTGGCGAAAATGTGCACACATATTGGTACACTGTGTGGCGGCATCCTTGTTTCTGACACACATGACGCCGACGCCGGCCCCAGCCCGACCCTGGCACACTCGCCAGCTGCTACACCAGCACCCTCGCCAGCATCAGCGCTTGGACATACGAAGCCTGCACCAACGCCAGCGCCTACTTCAGCGCCGACGTCACCACAGACTCCAGCACCAACGCCGGCCACCTGACGGCAACGCACCAGAGGATTCATTAATCCAGCAGGGCCGCGAGAACAAGGCTGACCAAGACAAGGGCGCCAGACGGACCCCACTGCCCCTCCCCGCGCCCACTTCCCTCTGTCTGCCCACCCCCACCTCCACCTACCAACCTCCAGCCGCCACCACCTCCAGCGCCTACGCCAGCGCAGACGCCGACGCCGGCCCCAGCCCGACCCCAGCACACTCGCCAGCTACTACACCAGCACACTCGCCATCATCAGCGCTTGGACCTACGACGCCTGCACCAACGCCAGCGCTTACATCAGCGCCGACGTCAGCACCGACGCCTGCACCAACTCCGGGAGCGCCATCTAGAACGCCAGCGCCTGCACCAGCGTCGACGCCAGCACCGTTTCCTGCACCAACGCCGGCCATCTGACGACGCCTGCGCTGGGAACAACGCCAGCACCTACGCCAGCACCGTTATCATCACCGATGCCAGCACCGACGCCAACGCCTACACCAGCACCGACGCCAGCACCAACGCCTACACCAGGAGAACGACGAGGTGGTGCGGGAGGATGGAGGTTAGAGTCGTGGCAGGGGTGGAGGTGTACTCTGCGAGGATCGACGCGTCCAACGCGGGGCTGGTCGAGCTTGACGCGTCCTAAGGGCTCTCTCGGCGTTTTTTTTTGGGGCGCCCGTGCCTCTCCGCCACTCTGTTCTCGCCTCCTCGCCCCCCCCCTCCCGGTTCAGGTACAGGCTTTGTTCTAGCGCTACGCTGTGCCCTGTTGGGCGTGTTTGTTGCTCCTCTTAGGCTTGGGGCAGGCGTGGAGCTCTGTTGGCAGTCGGCGTTCTTCGCCTCCCTTTTGGCCTGTCTCTACTCTTCGTTTTTTTGTTTGACTGCCTGCCTTAACGGCGTGCTCCCTCAGCCGCGCTCCGCCCCTACGCGGTAGGTCTCAGACCGGCTTTGCGGTGGCCGCCATGGCTCCATCATGTGACATTGTATCTCATTGTAGCTAGTGCCCTCTCCTTGCGTCGTCTCTGGCGTCCGCTCCCCCCCCGCTCGTGTGGGACCTATGTGCGCGCACCCTGGGCGAAGCCTCAGCTGGTCTACGCACTCATGAGCGTCTCTCCTTTCCTCCTCCTCCTCCTCCTCCTCCTCCTCCTCCTTGGCATCTGAGGGCGAGGCTCTGAATGTGTTGTCATTCGTGCTTTCACTTGGTCGCCCCAGCTTTGGGCAAATGCCCGGGCAATGATTGTCACGGATAGCGCTTGCTTGTCCCGGCCGCGTGGCCGATGCAGGCATGTTCCCATTCAGGATGATACGTTTGCGGGAATTCGTATCTTCAGGCAGGTGTGCTCTTCTCCCCCCTTCCTCGCTCCCCCCTCTGCCCGGGTCCGGGGCTATTGCACGTTTTTGCCTTCATCTCTGCACTGCGGCCGGCTTTCGTCGCGCGTTCATTCCCTTCCAGGAAAAATCAGTCTGCGTAAGAGTAAGTCTGTGCACGAGTAAGTTTGAGGAGGATGAGAGAAAGGAGGAGGAGAGACGAGAGGAGGGGCTCTGGTTCTGGTTGGAGTCGGCGCCGTCCAAGTAATAACAAGAACCCCATCTTAGGATATGGGGAACATGCAAGCAAATATCGTCCCCAAACTGTTTTAAACATTTGTTTGGGATATTCCTCCTGTACTGGGACAGGCCTGGTTTAACGTAAGCGCCCCTCGCCGCCTGCTCAAGTGTCGGCCGCTCGGGCCACCAGAAAGAGAGATGGAGGGGATCGAGGAGTGTAAACAACTCGTGCAGGAGATTTCGCCTCGTTTTCGGCCTCGCGGGGCCCCGTGTCGGGCTCGATCGTTGGGCGACCGGAGATCGATCTCCAGGGCGAAAGAGTTTGGCCAGGGTTGTTCCTCGTTTTCGGCCTCGTGGGGGCCCGTTTCGGGCTCGATCGCGGGGCCGCCGGAGATCGATCTCCAGGGCGGAAGAGCCTGACAAGAGGGACCCGGGGAGGGGCCGTAGCCATTTTGGCTCAAGTTGCGAATAGGGCATTCGGGCTCATATCTGATCCGCACTCTGAAGCGCTGGGCGAGTTCCTCTTCCGTGCTGCGCCTTTGCGGCTACCGCAGCACTTTTGGCAAGGGTGTGATGACGTTTTTAAGCAATCTGCGGGTCTCACGCACGCAGTCAAAATCCAGGCGTTGCGTGCATCCGATAGGGAGCGGCCAGGATGAGATACAAGAATCGCCGTCGACCTGCCCAGCAAAACCTGGCATATCCCACCAGTACGACGACCCCAAGAACACTGCAGGCGATGCAGGAGTGACGTCCAGATCCCGCAGCCATGACAGTACAGGGAGTCGGAGGCCCGCTGCGGAAAACATGATGAATCACATGAAGGCCGTGCGGGAGGCTTTGCCGACGCTGAAGCCGGACCTGGTTGTGACCACGAAAAACGCACAAGTCAATTTGCTGGTCGTTCGCAACCCCAAGGAGTGGTCACAAGGGGACATGGACGGGGGCGCGGGCAAGCCAGGGATAATATTGTCCATCGATGCGGCCAGGGAGACCTGCACTGTGTATTGGTATGAGTCCAGGCAGGTCCACGACTGCAACATCGGCAGGAAGGGCGGGCTCTGCAAGCCGCGCGGCACCATCCCTGAGTCGCTGGGAGGGGAGGATGGGCTGGCAAGCGTTGGGATGGCGCAGTCCGCCATACAGGCCATGAGGACTTGGCTAGGAGGCCAGGGGAAGAAGGGACACCAGACGGCCACCCTGGTCGGGCAGTTTGATCGGCAGATTTCGCCGTTTGCTCGCCAGATGTCGCCGTTCGGCCGGCAGGTTTCCTACGCAACGCACGCGGAAAAGACACAGACGGCCATCATATTCGATTGGGACGACACGCTGTTCCCAACCACATTCGTGAAGCACGATCTGGGCCTCTCCGTTCGCCATCACCTGAAGGACCAGGCGCTCAGTCCCCAGAAGATGCTTCGTGTCCAGACCGCGCTGGCGAAAGCTGCGGGCGCGGCCGGCCAGCTCCTCCGGCTGGCGAACGAGCGCGGGAAGGTCGTCATAGTGACTTTGGCCAGGAGTCCGTGGGTCACCGATTCTTGCAGGTATTTCTACCCTGGGATCGGCGAGCTCATCGAGAAGCTCAACATCCAGATTGTGTACGCGCGGGATGGCGAGCAGATAGACTACAGCAAAGTCAGCAATATGGCCCAGAGTCAGTTCGAGACGTTCTGGGCCGAGACGAAAGGCATGGCCATCTCCGAGGCGCTGGGAGAGTTCTACTCCCAGTACGAGGGGCAGTCCTGGAAGAACGTCATATCCTTGGGGGACTCACACTTCGAGCGATACGGCACAATGGCAGCGACGATGCAGTATGCTGCAGCCAAGGGCCTGGTCGGCGAGGACCTGGTCGGCGAGGAGGAGGTGGCCCTCCCGGACTGTCCGTCGGAGGCGGCGCATGCGCGCCGGGGCTCTGTCGACACGACTGGCTCGCGGCTGTCCGTGTCGAGCGTGAAGAGCCTCGAGGGCACGAGCCAGGTGAGGCGAATGTCGTGGGAGGGGACCGTCGGCGGCCAGAAGATCAAAGTGAGGACGAAGACCTTCAAGATGCTGGACGAACCGACGGACGACGAGCTCATCGTGGAGCTGAGCCTACTGCACCGGTGGCTCCCTCTGATGGTGGAGCTTGACGACGGCTTCGACGTCGACCTCAACAGCCTCGACGGCGATGTGCAGATCGATGAGATCGAGAACAGGTTTAGCGTTATTAAGTGCTGAGGCAGCACTGTCCCCTCCTCATCCTCGATACGAAGGGCGACGTGCATCTACACTTGCGGCGCATACCCAGATGCCGCATGCTTTTCGCGTAAATTATCCCGAGCTTTGTGCATCCCTGCGGAATCACGGAGCGCCCAAGGGCTTGTTTTATTTGGGAGGAGCGGTGTCGCAGTTCCAGCTGGCTTGCCGAACGTGTTCGAGTTTCCTCCCAGGGACTGGAAGCAAGTGCTCGGTCAGAGTGCCCTGGATGTTTCACCTTGGAGCCCGCAACTAACCTCATGCCCGTGAGAATAAACACTAGGGGATAACAAAGTTCGGGGTTCAGGGAGAGATAATAAAAGTAGCCCAGCAGACCTCAGCATAATCTCGAAGTAAGAGATGATGAAGAGGAGACCAAGCCGAGCACGCTTTGAGACATCCTTGGCGTTTAGTTTTAATAGAAATATCATCAACAATGGCTTATCTCTCATGAAAAATGTTTTTTTGTAAGTGCTCGTGTAGGGTAGCTCATGTGCTTCAATTTCCATGGATAATCAACCCCAGAGATAAAAAAGTTCAGGCGAGCGTGGGGACAGAGAGAAATATAAAAGAAGAAGAATACAGTAGAAGAATAATAAGAAAGAAGAAGAAGAGGATAATAAGAAGAGGACGAAGAAAGGAAAAATCCAAAGTTCCAAATCTATCAATTTTAATTTACAAACGCTTTATGATTTTTTTTTTTTTAAGTGCTCGTGTAGGGTAGCTCATGTGCTTCATTTTCCATGGATAATCAACCCCAGGGATAAAACAGTTCAGGCGAGCGTGAGGACAGATAGAAATATAAAAGAAGAAGAGGAAAGTAGAAGAATAATAAGAACATTGCTCGTTTCGTTTGAGTCTGCCTCCCAAAATTATTGGTTTCGCTTGACACATCCTGAAAAAGTGTGATCGCTTCGCTTGATGTTGCTATATCAACATCGCTTGATGTTGCTATCTCAACATAGCGTTTCGAGGTGATAATGAAGTTCGGCCTCAGCGCTCGCCGCCCAATTTGAATTTTGTATAGGGCGACGATAATCAACTCTAAACACTGAAGGGGGGGGGTCCCTTTATTATCATCGGCATGCGGTTAAGAAACCCGGACCTCGGGCAAGGAACTGATCTTCTAAGTCCTCGACAAGCCAATTTTGGCGGTCAAAAGAGCATTTCGGTTCAGATCGGGCCAGGCTCACTGCTTCACTGAAGGCTTCGGCTGTCGCACGCCCACGCCGACGATTCTTCTTCAAGAAGTACTTTTTCAACCATGAGAGGCGCCCGTAATTTGCAGCTGTTGGGGCTGGGCGCGCTGAGGGGGTCAAGGAGACCCATTGGCCCATGGGGGAGTACCCTCCTCCAGGCTAGATGTTTTGTTTTACGGTGGCATCTGGACCAGTTCGAAGCGCAGATGCGCGCCGGCGGCATTCAGAGGGCTCAACGAGCTGGAAGACGGCGCCCTTCGGCAGGGAGTGAGTAACCCACTGCCGTTGTGATGCATGCGGGCTCAGATGCCTGTGCATTCGCTTGCATCGATAGTGCTGACTGTTCCTACCGTCAGAAGCACATCCAACCTCATCCTCCCTCGATCCTCGCACCTGGATCCTCCTCGTACTCCTCGATATATTCGGTCTTCTAACATCGATCCTCCAGGATCTTCCTCGATCGGGACGCAGCGTCGAATCCATGCCAGGACCCTTGAGGGTCGTGCCGCAATGAATTCAGGGCATCCAATTTGCTCATTTGGGTGATTCCCCCCTCCAATCTAAATCATATGCGAAGCGGATATGCGCGCCTGCTGCATGCAGCGGGTGCAACGAGCTGACTGACGGCGCCCCTCGGCTTGGAGTGAGTCACCTTCTGCCGTTGGGACGCACGCGGGCTCGGAAGGTGGAGCCTTCGCTTGCATCGATGGTGCTGACTGTTCCTGCGGTTAGGAACGCATCCAATCCCATCCTCCTTCGATCCTCCGTCGAGTCTTTTCCACAGGGGTTTCGTCGTGCGCGCGACGCTTTTTTTGTTTCTAGTGCGCTGTGCACAGGGTAGATTACATATCCGACGAGCGCCTCAGCGCCGTTGCACCTTGATTGTGGGGTGTCTGAGACGGCGCGGGCAGAGAGCAAAAAGCGAAACTGAACAAGAGGGACCCGGGGAGGGGTCTGGAGTTCACTTTTGAGTGGCCCAGGCGTCCGCCTCCTTTCGAGTAGGGCCTCGAGTTGCAGCATTGATTTGCCCCGAAATCGTTGCTCTCGTCGAGTCAGACGTAGAATGTTCGTACATCCACGAACACTCTACGCACTGCATGGGCTCCACGAAGCAGTCTATTCCGTGGCACATCAACTCTGCAGTCCATCCCCTGCTCGACGCCTTGGGGGCATCAAGGCGAGGAGGATCGAGGATCGGGGCCTGGGACGATGGGCCTCTTTGGAATCTTGGAGGCCTCCCGTCGCCGCGGGTGGGTCCGCCCTCAACGTCTGGCCAGCTGGCACCCCAGGAAAAGGCCCAGGGGGGGAAGGCATGGAGGAGGAGGGCCGAGAGGAGGGGGCGGCGGAGTGGCGAGAAAGATGAGGGAAGAGGGAGGAGGAGGAGGATCGAGGATCGTATGATGGAGGTCTGGGGCACGCTTCGGGGCTTCTGGGGGGGCGCGGATGTCTCCGGGAAGGCTCTATAGGGCTCTTGGTGAGCCTCGTGGGAGCATCTTGGAGCTACTAAGCCTTTTGTGGCAGGGGCCTCTTGAGTCTCTTGGAGACCTCTGGAGGGTCTTGGGTTCGTCTTGGAAGGCAAGTTCCCAGCTGTCTTGCAGTGCCCCGCGTGTCGGGCCCCTCTTGGAGCCGTCTTTCCTAGTGGCCGCTCGGGCCGCTCATGGGAGCTTGGGTTAAGTCGGGCATGTCCCTCTACAGGAGGAACATTCAAAACTAGTCCAACAAATAGTCTGGGGACGATTCTTTGACTACTTTTGACTCTTTGGGGGATTATTTGGGTATCTTTAGTTTCTCGTCCAAATCCGCCTGTAGGAGGACATGCCCTACCTAGAGCTTGGGGGGGGCCGTCTCGGACGCTCTCAAGGCCGATCATGCGAGATCGTCAACATGCTGCGCGCGTGCTGCTTTTGCTCGACGTGGGGCCTCTTGCGCTGGCATGTGCGCCCGAGCTGATGGGCCTGTTGTCCACCACCATCAGCAGCTGGAGGGGGGAAGGAGGCGGACGAGGAGGAGAAGGACGAGGAGGAGAAGGACGAAGAGGAGGAGGAGGAGGAGGAGGAGGAGGAGGAGGAGGGTCCCCTCCTCCTCCAACTTATGGTGGTGGTGGTGGTGGTGGTGGAAAACGGGCCCATCACAAGCCGCGCACACGAGGAGGCCCTGACGAGGCGGACGGCAGGGCCCGCGGGGGAAGGCACGCGCCGAGGGCCGCCAGGGAGGAACGCCATGGCAGCAACCACCATGACCAGCAATCGTCGGCGAGCGAGGGAAGAGCCAGGATTGTGCGGATCAGAGGAGGAAGAGGTACCCATACCTCTACCCTCTCCTCGTTTCCCCCTTTTTGGGCCTCCTGGGACTCCCTCGTTTGCACCGCTGGTTAGAACACACCCCAGGAGAGGTCCGGGGAGTGCCGGTATCGGTACCTTTTGGTTTCCCCAGTGGTCGTTGATTTGGCGGCAAGCGAGGGGGGAAGTGAGAAGGAGAAAGCCTTCTGAGGGGGCTCGGAAGTCCACCGGCCTTCGGAGAAATTGTCTGAGCCTTCTCCAGAGACGCAGAAAAATTCTCAGAAGGCCCGGGGGCGTTCTGAGAAGCCCCGCCGCCTTCTGAGAAGGCCTTCTCCATCTCACGTCCCCCCCCTCGAAGGGAACCAAGAGTGACATAAACGTGAAAACTCTGAGGTCCGTGCGGATTCCTCGGATCGGCGCTGGACCCCCCCTGGCGGCGCCTCCGGCGGCCAAGGGCAAGGCCTTCTCAGAAGGAGGCGGGGCTTCTCAGAAGCCCTCGGGCCTTCTGATTTCTCCGAAAGCCAGTGGACTTCCGAGCCCCCTCAGAAGGCTTTCTCCTTCTCACTTCCCCCCTCGCTTGCCGCCGAATCAACGTCCACACAATCCTGGCTCACGCTGGGGAGGGGGCTTTTATGAAAGAGGAAAGAAAGCATAAGCAGGGACTTTGGCGCTCTGCGCGGTTTTATTGGATCCGCGCCTGGCGCCCCCCCCGGCGGCCCCTCCGGCGCCGCCCCTGGCGCGCTCCGCGCGCCAGAGGAGGGGGGTCCATTTTTTTTTTGGGTGGCGATTAATCAGGGATTTGGAGTATGGGGGATCCTGGGGCTGGTGTGTATCTGCTTGTGTGTCCCTGGGGCCCATTCTTAAGTCGAGCACGTCCCTCTACAGGAGGAACGTTCAAAAATAGTTCATGTTGACCCGTTTGAACATTTCTATTGATCATTTTGGCGTATTTTTGGCTATTTCTATTGTTTTTCGTCCAAGACCCCCCTGTAGGGGGACATGCCCGACCTACACCTCATGCGATGCTTAAGAAAACCTAAGTTTTCGGCCAGAGTGTCGATTATTCTTACCGTTTCAATGTAAATCCCAAGATTTTGATAGAAGTTCTGGGTTTTATTCAATTTCTGAGACTATGAATTTCTTAACCCATGATTTCTTAAGCATTTCGCAGGGTGTAAGCCCATTCAGAGATGTTCTCTTGTCCTGGGCCCGGCCGTGCATCGGCTCCCTTCGGGCCCGGGGCGCTCCAGAGGAGGGGGCCTCCGCCCCCTTCGGGCGCAGAGCTCGCCGTCGGCGGAGAGGGCGGCGGAAGGCTGGAGGGAGCCAGCGGCAGGAGAGCGAGGGCGGCTCCGCCGGCGGCCAGCGGAAGCGCGGAAGCACAGCACGCGCCCCCAAGAGGTGTCGGTGGGGGAGTCGCGTAGAAGAGACCCGAGCGAGCCAGAACTCGGGTGTGCCAGCGTTTGTTGACGAGCGCGTCCTGGGTTTTGACGGTCCAGCTTTCGCGGGATGTCTGCAGCTGGAGCTCGCGTCGAATTTCAGATTGGGTCTCGTTATTTTTATGATGGCCCAGTCAGGTCAACCGAGTCCCCCGTACCCGAGTCTTACGTCTCCCCGCGTCAGCTCTCTGCCCTGGCATCGCTCGGACGTGTGCCTGCTTTTCTCGGCGAGGGCCATCGAGGAGCATCCTGGATCAGTCGACAGAAAAAAAGTACGCACGGAACCGAGCAATACATGGGGAAATGGACGTCCGAGCGATGGCAAGTTACAGGGCCCCCTTCGGCACGGGCCATGAATAGGCCCTGCTTCTCCAGCCCCCCCGCAGGCTTGTTTGGACGTGGGAGGGGTGCGTGGCGAGGCCCGAAAGGAGATCAGGATTTCACGCAAGGCAGGAGTCACTTGCAGGCATTTTCGGCCCACCGCTGTCTGAAAAGAGGCGGCAGAGGTGTGTGTGTGTGTGTATGTGTGCATGTGGAAATGCCATGCAAGTGAATTAACTTGCCCGAGTCTGAAGTAAAAAGCCCTCGAAACTGTTCGGTTCTGGTCTCCCGGTGTTGGCGCCAGCGAGGATCGACAACGTCAAGAACCTCGGGAAGTTGGGGCGCTACCGCTTCAGCTTCGATCCAGACGAGCACGCCTCGATCT